GGAATCAGTTCGTGTCATTCATTGGATTCATGTTAAACTTGTTGTGAGAAACAGTTCGTTTCATTCATTGGATTCATGTTGAATTTGTTATGAGAATCAGTTCGTGTCATTCATTGGATCATGTTGAACTTGTTATGGGAATCAGTTCGTGTCATTCATTGGATTCATGTTGAACTTGTTATGGGAATCAGTTCGTGTCATTCATTGGATTCATGTTAAACTTGTTGTGAGAAAATTAGTAAAGATACACTTCAAACCCTCTAAATGTTGGTAAAGGTACACTTTAAACCCTCTAAACACAACAACTTCCATTTTCACCTTTTTCTCTCCTCCTCCAGGTTTATGCTTAACGTTTTGTAGCGATCCTATTTTTGAGGTAACGCTCTGACGTTAGGAGTTGGAGCTTGACCGACGGGAGCTTTGATGGGTGGGATCTCTAGAAATATGAAGAGAACATTGGCATTATGTTTTAAAAACAGACATTTAAAACTATCAGAAACCCAAACACAAATATTCTTCTCTTAAACGATGAAGTCAGACTACATCTTGGAGAACACAAGACAAGTCAGAACACAGAAAAAGTCGTTTCAAACTAGCAAAAACTCAATTTTGAGTTTTATGTCATTGTCTGGTTTGACCTTTTATTCCACATGGCTTCGTATACAGATGTGAGGCCTTTGTTTCTTAACGGAATTACTTGTGGACCTATTAATATCCAAACAAGAAACAAAGGGTCACAATTCATGATATGGAACCAACCAAAGACATGAACTGGTTCTCACAAGTTAAACATGGATCAAAGAAATGACACGAGCTGATTCTCACAACATGTTCAACATGGATCCAATGAATGAAACGAACTGATTCTCACAACAAGTTTAACATGAACCCAATGAACGACACGAACTGATTCTTACAATAAATTTAACATGAATCCAATGAATGACACGAACTGATTCTCATAACAAGTTTAACATGAATCCAATGAATGAAACGAACTGATTTAGAGGGTTTGAAGTGTATCTTTACTAACATTTAGAGGGTTTAAAGTGTACCTTTACCAACATTTAGAGGGTTTGAAGTGTACCTTTACCAACATTTAGAGGGTTTGAAGTGTATCTTTACTAATATTTAGAGGGTTTGAAGTGTATCTTTACCAACATTTAGAGGGTTTTGAAGTGTACTTTTACTAATATTTAGAGGGTTTGAAGTGTATCTTTACCAACATTTAGAGGGTTTAAAGTGTACCTTTACCAACATTTAGAGGGTTTGAAGTGTACCTTTACCAACATTTAGAGGGTTTGAAGTGTACCTTTACCAACATTTAGAGGGTTTGAAGTGTATCTTTACTAACATTTAGAGTGTTTGAAAGTGTA